ACGACAGCCCTTGGCGTGTGCCGCCACTTAACCCCGGTCACCTTTGAAAGTACCGAACAACCGACCACCCCACGAGTGGAGCGTGCCTCTATTTGACCGCTGGGAAGCTGCGGTCTGCGGTTAACCACAAGCCTAATTGACTGTCTCAGGGTGGCCCACCTGTATCCTGGCATGTGGTCCCAATTAGAACGTTGAAGCTGCGGTTAACCGCAAGTTAAGTACCCCCTGTCATGGCGGTCTCCGTTTGGTTCACGAAGGGCTAAGAAAACCATCCTATGAGCGGTGTTCGCGTAATTGTTCAGCCGCTACTCTTTCCAGGGGTTTTAGGTCCAGGTCCCGCTCTCCATCTACCAACCTGAAAACATGGCCGCTATCTCGTGTTCGGGACAAAAGACACGAACGGACTTTATATTGAGGAGAAAAATCGTCCATGAATTCTGAGCGCTATTCATCTATCTGCTGCGCTCAGAACTGGGCTACATAATGAACGGTGGAATGGGCGATATGTCTATTAAAGTATTAAAGTTATGTAATTCTATACTGTTTTATATGTTGTAATAAAACGTGGGATTCTGGGCGCTTTGAGATAATTACATTGTCACAACCGTAGGACTCATTATCTCCAAGCTGGGCGGTAACAATTTCAAAGGATACATTGTGTTACTATAGGTCAACTGTTTATATTGTCTCTGTATCCCATCAGGTCCAGAGGGGGCTGTCCCTGGACCTGGGGTTTTTGCATGAAAAGCAATGCCTGTGTGCAGGGGTGGACTGACAGGTCGGGCAGATCGGTCATGGACCGAGGGCCCGAGTCAGTCGGGGGGCCCGGCAGCTCAGTCATGCTTCTGCTGTGGAGATCAGATCAGAGATCTCCTCAGCGAGAAGTAAGAAAGCGCTGTAAGAAGGTTGCAGGGGCCCATAATGACTCTAAGGGCCCCTGCAACCCATCAGTCTGCAAATACCCCTCCCCATTCAGTGAGAGACCTGGCAGCGCACCTCTCACTGCCAGGTCTCCTCTCTCTCTCTCCCCCTGCTCCCTGCTCCGTGCTCAGTGCTCTGTGTGAGGATGGGAGGCGGGGCAGGAAGTGACATCACCACCTGCTTCCCTCTCACACGGAGCACACATACAGCGTGGATGGAGGGTGAGAAGGAGCCTGTCTGCCCCACTGCTGCTGGAGGAAGAAAAACATCACATTGTACAGGTAAGCAGGCCCATACACACACTGCCCACCTATATACACACACTGCCCACCTATATACATACACTGCCCACCCATATACACACACTGCCCACCCATATATATACACTGTCCACCTATATACATACACTGCCCACCCATATATACACAGACACACTGCCCACCCATATATACACACACACACTGCATACACTGCCCACCCATATATACACACACACACTGCCCACCCATATATACACACACACTGCCCACCTATATATATATATATATATATATATATATATATATATACACACACACACACATTGCTCCACACAACCTACACATTCACTCACTACACCCCCCCACACACACACTGAACCTTTCACACACACACTGCACCACTCACACACACCACTGCTCCTATGCCCTACTACAGCCTGTGTTCTCAAACTGTTTGACTACTTACTTTAAAATTATTTTTAACATTTACTTAGTCCTTAAAGGACCACTATAGGCACCCAGACCACTTCAGCTCAATTAAGTGGTCTGGGTGCCAGGTCCCTCTAGTTTTAACCCTGCAGCTGAAAACATAGCAGTTTCAGAGAAACTGCTATGTTTCACTAAGGGTTAATCCAGCTTCTGTGGCTGTCTCACTGACAGCTGCTAGAGGTGCTTCCGCGATTCATACTGTGAATGCGTGCGCTGAATTCGAGAATGCGAGAATTCCCCAGAGCCGAGGGAGCCCGGCGCAGGAGAAAGGTAAGTGGTTGAAGGGGTTTTAACCCCTTCAGCCCAGCGGGAGGGGGGCACTATAGTGCTCCTTTAATATTTTGTCTTGAAGGGCCCTGGATCTAATTTTGTCCGGGGGCCCAGGAGGCTGTCAGTCCACCCCTGCCTGTGTGCCATTAAACCCAGTTCGTTTTACCCTCAACTAGCAGCCTCGGTTGTAGGGTACCGTGAATCCTAGCTCTGCTATAGCTTGTGGGATGTTCTACACTTACAGATTTTTGCCTATTGAAGCAGCGTTCGACTCTCCAAGTTCGGGAACCAGGACATCCAAGCGGTCCAACCTCCCGCAAGACCGGAGGCAACCGTAACAAAACAATTGTCTGGAAATCTATTCATAAACAGAGCTATACATAGGACACGAGGTCACACATTTAGGCTGGAAGAAAGGAAAACGGTTTTTTTTACAGTAAGAGCAATAAGGATATGGAATTCTTTGCCTGAAGAGGTGGTTTTGTCAGAGTCTATATAGATGTTTAAACTGCAATTGGATAAATACTTGCTAAAACGTAACATACAGGGATATAATTTCTAATTAGTGGGGCAATAGCTGCTTAATCCAAGGAGACATCTGACTGCTATTTTGGGGTCAAGAAGGAATTTTTTCCTAGTTTGTTGCAAAATTGGAAGCGCTTCAGACTGTTTTTTTTGCCTTCTTGTGGATCAACAGCAAAAAAATATGTGAGGAAGACTGAACTTGATGGACGCAAGTCTCTTTTCAGCTATGTAACTATGCAACTATGTAACCTATACCACTTGTAGGCCAGATCGGGTCAGGTCAGTTCTCCCCTCTCCTTCAACCCTCGCTGCTCAAACAGGTAGACCTGAGGTCTTATGAACAGGGATAGACTCGGATGGAAGTCCTGGGGTAACGGGGTGCAGATGAAGCTGCCTGGAGCCACGTGACCGTAGTCGAGAGATCGGCCATCTCCCTCAACTAGCAAGTTGGCAGTGCCAATAGGCCGCAGGTCCAGACGGACAGAATAAGTGCCAGAGCGGCGTTTTCCAGAGCTGGCAAGAGCTGCTCTGGTAGGAATTAAGTGTGAAAGGCGCTCTGTTGCGTTTTCAGCGTTTTCATGAACCAGTGTAGCTAGTTAGTAGCCCTGGCCATCTTGGTGGTCAGGCCCCCTCCCCCGTTATTTACTTTTTTTTCCTACTTAAATGAACAGGAGGCTGCTGGTTGAGGCTGGTGTACCAGGTCGGCAGCTGCTCAGTCTCCGCTCCTCCCTCTCTCCCTCCAGTAGGTGTGCGCTATGTCTGGGAGGATGACAGGTTGTCACTTCCTCCCAGCATCCTATATTACAGGGGACCAGTCGCAGTCTTAAATATCCAAAGCGCCTGACTGGTCTCCTGTTTAGCGATACCCATCGGGTGACCCTAAGTGGTTGGGCCACCCGATAGGCAAATCACTGCCAAACCCCAATTTGGTTCCACGGAACACCAATTGGGAAATGCTGATATAGGCAATGTAACTGCTTCAGCCCATTGGTTTATTGTATCTGGAGGCCTCTAGCAACATCCTTTTAGTTTTAATATTAAACAAGAGTCTCCAGCATCCCATCCTCTCTATACTGCTTGAACTAATGAGGAAGCATTAGCCTGATCAGCAATGGATATCTGGGATCGTCAGTCGACCACTTTCAGCAGTATCTATTGCTCATATGAGTTGGTATGGCTAGAAGGAAGTCTAATCTCTGCCTTAGTCATACCTCAAGTAAAAGCCAGGCGTGGGCGGCCAGGGACACTTATTTATTGCACAGCGCAAGCAAATTTAATTACATGCTTGCACTGTGTTTGCTTTAAATTTGTCTCTGGTGTCTCCATAGATGGGATGCCAGGAGACAAAAATGCCAGGAAAGAGTATTGTGCAGTGTGTGTGTATGAAGATGCTGTGTGTGTGTGTGTGATGGGTGTAGTGAGGGTGCTGTGTGGGTAAGGGTGCAGTATGTGTGTGCTGTGTGTGTGAGTGATGGATGCAGTGTTTGTGTGAGGAAGCTGTGTTTTAGAGGGTGCTGGGAGTGTCAGAGGTGAAGTGTGTGTGTGTGAGGGTTCTGTGAGTGTCAGGGGTGCAGTGTATAGGAGTGAGGGTGCTGTGTGTGAGTGAGGGTGCTGGTGTGTGAATATGTTTGGAGGGCTTGTGTGTTGGGGGGCAGATTATCAATATATATTCATTTCCTTTTTATTTTTAAATGAGCAAGCATTGATTGTATCCCCCCTCCCTTGTTACCTTTAGCCTGGGAGAGAGGACCGTGCTGCCATCCCTGGTGATCCTAGTGGTGAGTGAACTCTAGCCTTTGGCAACGCTCCGGATCTTGCGAGAGGAACCTGGTGGGTTCCTCTGCTGTCTCCCTCCCCAGCAGGCGGCCGCATCACACTTCATGTGGGTCAGTGAGGGCTTGATCTCCCCACTGGCCCGTCATGGAAAACAGCGGGACCGGCGCTCTGATACATTGTGTGATCTCCCCTGCCGGTCTCAGCCCATGGACATCGCGGACTACTGGACATTTGTCCGGTGTGCCCAATGGCCAGTCCGGGCCTGATATCAGCCAAGCAGGCAAATCACGGGCAGAACCAGCAGCACCAGACTACAATAAAGGTAAGAGTTTACTATATTTAGGGGGGCAGATGGCAGTTTTAACACTATAGGGTCAGGAATACATGTTTGTGTTCCTGACCCTATAGTGTTCCTTTAAGTTTAAGAGGTGTGATTGTAAATGAGGGTAGGGACGGGTCATGGGGCTGTTCTGTGAAATTTTTTTTGTTAAACTCATGTATTGTAGTTTTAAGACACATTACTGAGTATTATTGCTGTGGATCTCTGGTATACATTCAGAAACAACACACAACAAGAATAGTGAGATCACAGGAAGAAAGATATTAATATGGGAAAAAGTGACAGTCCCTCCTAAATATGGATGGTTAGGATGTATGCAAAGAGATGAGTGCCAATAGAACCTCTTAAAGGGATACTCTGGACCCCTAAAGCATGTTAGATTTATAAACTAACCATGTTATACCTCCTTGGCTGTCAATCTGACAACCGGTCCTGTTACTTCCTGGTTTGTTTGCTCAAGAGGTAGCAATTGCTCAGAGCAGCTGCCTTGCAAAGACTTCTCATTGAGCTGCATTTTGACGTCTGTGATTAAACAGCCACAGAAAGTCTTGGCGTGGTTAGAAGGGGATGACACTGATCACACCGGCCATGTCTAGTCGTGCGGCCTATATATTCCAAACTGCAAGGACATCTTAGTAAGTAGATTATATTCTTAGAATAGCATGCTATAAATTCTTTTATAGATATAATTTTGCCCTCTTTATCATTAATCGTCGTAATAGTCCATTTCATTTTTAAAGTGAATACTCTCATTCCATTTGGATTGAACTCTGACTTTGGACTATGCCATTTTCTATAGAGAACCCCCCCACCTCCCCCCCTCATAAAGAATTATAAAACAAGTTTGAAAACACCCTGTATCTCCAACAGGTTATGAAGATCCTGTCCCTTTAATTATTAAATTATTTTAACTATATAAGTTTTACACAATTTATGTATAAAGGAAAGGAATCACCATCACGGGAAATAAATATATTAAAGGTCTTTTATTTCCTAGTAAAGGTTATCACTATGGGTAAATAATCACTTTAACATGGATACTAATCAAATAGATTATTGTAGATCGAAGTATTATAAGAACTCTATTAAGATGTATATAACTAATTCCTCTTTTATATTGTCATATCCCCATTTTGTTCCCTAATGTTTATTTATGGAGAGACTTTCAAGGCTTTATCTGTTGGACCGCACTGAAAATCTGACTAATAACACTGTGCAATATGAACATTAGAGAAAACGGCTACAAACATATGGATACAAATTCGGAATGAACAGTAACTGCCAAGCTGAGAGGCTTGCCAACATCACAACCCTAGAGCGAGGCTTGGAACACAAGGAAGTAAAGCTACAGCTCAAGATAATTTCAATCTGACGGCACTCCAGGTGAGAGTGTCCGACCGATCTGTTAATCCTTTTTTTTTTCAAATTAGTTTTTTTTTTTTCTCTTGTATCTTTATGGACATAAGTTACATACTACCCTACGTGATAGCTACGTAACAAACACAGATGTAGAAGATTCCCCAATTAGGAGGGTATATAAACAGAAGCTAGGAACCAGGAACTCTCACAACGCTGATCCGGCTGACGAAGCCACATCTAGTGGTGAAACACGTACTGGTATGTTTTCTTATAGACATTGTTCTTAATTTTATTTATGTACTTTTTAATACCAATTAATAAATGTATTTAAGCTTTTATTTGGTTCCTGGCTTTAAAAAGATTTAAAGGGGGAGTGTAGCCCTATACCGACACAATACGCTACTACAGAGCCACAGGGGCTCTGTGTTTGTAAGTACTCAATTGGCACTTATTTCCATATATTCCTTAACCATACTGTACTACCCTATTGTGTGTTTATATACTTTCCCTTAGGACGGAACACACATTCCATATAGGAGTGGGTCGCCTAAACGGACCCAGAAGCGTTCCACACTGGAGCTAGGTTTTATAGCTCCTTGTTTGTGAGTGTTTTATTTATAAACTCCATTTTATCATTGCTATCTCTATATTTATAAACTGCACCATGTGGTATTATTTGTGTCTATTTTAGGTCTGAAAAATTCTAACTTTGTTAAACTACCATAACCACTGTTATTAAGGTAAACGTTTCGTATTTTAAAGCGCTACACTTCTGAATCTTTTATATCTTGTTGGTGTTTGTGGAGAAGTCGCACTTCTTGGTGTCAGCTGCTATTATTACATATACTGTTTGGAGATTATACTCTTAAAATTTTTTTTTTATTATTTTTATATAAGCGCTAATACCCTTTGTCCTTTTTCAACTATTTTTATCTGCTGTTCCTTTTTTCTAGGAGCTCCGTATGTATGAAGTGTACAAGTGTAATAAATGTTTTAAATTGTAATAAATATATTTGGAACGTAGCTTGCCACGAGCTGGAACAGACGCCATTCCTGGAAGCTCCGTGCGGCAGCAAATTGCTGACTCGCACCTGCCAAAGGAGACAAACCAGTTCTTCTCCACCCGCACGAGTCACAGGCTAGTCATACGACAAATGCGCACAAACAGCGGCGCAGATCCTACTACACTCCGGCCCTAGCTAGCTGGAAGTCACTCCTCAGCAGCCCTGAGGGACCGTACCAAGCAGACTGGCCTACCCTGCCTCAGACCAAGCACACGCTGGAAATGGGGCGCCGTTCCCAAAAGCCTGGAGCTGGGTACAGCTTCCATTACTCCATCAGGGAAACGGTGGTCACAGGCAACCACAGCTTCCCAAACTGATCAACCCTCCCACATGGCCTCTACAGATGGCTCTGCACCAACCACTAAACACAATCTTCAAGATATCCACAAGATGTCTGCTGCTGATACTGCTGCCATCAGAGCAGATATACAAAACATCACAACTAGTCCGGGCTATGGAGAAAGACATAACAGAAATACATCCCGATATGTCTACCATGCAAGGTACTATACAACAACTTCAATCAAACAAACAAACGCTGTCTGTTCAGATGTCTGCAATTGAAGACAAAAGCCGATGCAATCACATTAAAATCAGAGGCGTACCTGCCACCATCACAACTGAAGAGCTACTACACTACTTGAGGCGCCTACTTGCATCTGTCCTACCCCCGGCTGTGGCTACGAAGATTGTCCTGGATGGAGTATATCGTCTACCCTCCTCATTTAAGTCCCCAGCTAATCCTGTACGCGACATCATCCTGCGATGCACCTCATCCCAAGACAAGGGACACATCATGACATCATGACAAAACACCACTCACTTTTGAGGACTCTCAACTGTCCTTTTATCAGGACCTCACCGGAGCCACACTACAATGGCGCAAGTCTCTCGGTGAGATCACACAACGTCTGTGAGTTGCTGGAGTCCCATACAGGTGGGGAGCTGCACAATCCATGATGGTGGTCCACACTGGAACTACTCACACAATCTCCTTAGCGACAGATACCTCAACGCTGCTCTCCACACTGGGACTTGCAGAGCCACTGCCAAGCATGGCCCAGCAAGCATTGACCAGCACCTGTGAATCTTATCCAGCTACAGTGACCCCCTTCATCCCAAGGACTCTGGAGGGGAACAGTCCTGACACCTGACTGGGGCTTGAGCTAAAGCAGACCATGGGGGTCCTGCAGAGTATTTTGAAACCACCTTACCTTACTGTTATTTTATTGTTACATTAATTTTACTTTATTTTATCTTGTTACAACTATTATAGCAACTCGATAACCTTGGCAGGCACCCTAACTCACCTCCCATCAATTGTGGGCAGTGGCAGAGTACTAGGCGGAGCAAGTCTCTAGATGGCGCTTTAAGTGGAACCCTAGTAGTTGGCAGGGAATACTTCCCCATCCCCCTCGGCTCGGTTAGGGGCACCACTCACCGCAAAGGCATAAACCATTGCAACGCACAGGGTTAATATTTCGGATGCTCCTCTTCTAGTTTGACCCGCCCTTAGCCTGGAGGAATCCCTACTATGGTACCTAATGCCCTGCATATACAAAACTCTAGATAACGATATATATCTCTTTATCACCCTATGTAACTCAATCTACTTTTTGGACTCGCATACCTCTATAGCGTATAGCGCTAAGCAACCTAGCCCATAGGAATTCATGCCTACACACTCCTACTAACTCTTCAAAGAACGTTACATCCTAGGTCTAGGCCACAGTACTTGCTTTAAAAAAAAAAAAAAATAAGTGCATAAGACAGATATTTAAGTGAAAGTTTGAACATTGTATTGCTTGATTTGCCAATATGTTTGATTTTCTCTATTTGTTCATTCATGTGCATAATTCCTGCACTGCAAAAATAAAGAATTATAAAATATATATATATATATACTTCCAAAGTAGTTTGTATAGCCATCGGTAGTATTTCATGCAGTTACTATTCTGAAATAGTCCTTCCTTTGGCTACAGCTTATAATTATTGACTTTCAATTTTCTGTAAAAAATTTGAAAATATGTTCGTATGGATTTTTTTTTAAATTAACTTTTATTGAAATAATTCGTTATGACTTCATAGGATTTGAAAAGTAAAACGTTTTGCTTTATCTTTTAATATCCACAATGAATATTTTTGCTCATTAAATTTAAATTTCTGTCAACAGGTTACTAATCCTACTCAGAAAATAACGGGAAATATAGAGATCAGAAAACTGTTCAGACATTGTCCATATGACCCAGGGTGGAACTGGCTTTGTTACTATGTAGAATTTGGACCACAATCAGAGAGGTGAGTGAGCCATGAAGACTTAGCATAAAGCATTGACCGTAAACCTCCACAAGAGGGAGCTCTAATCTTTGAACACAACAAATAGGAAAGCATGTTAAGAAAATTCAATTATTTAAAATTTGATGTTTTTGGGGGGATTTTTCTTCCAGTAGAACAGATTGATCACTAAATTGGTGAATATGTGCCTTTGTTGTTCACATTTATTAAATTAGTTTTACTTTAATTTTCAAAGACATAACAGAGTTACCAGAGGGAACACAAATTAACCTGGCAGTTTAGTGAAATATTACTGTATCACAGGGGTAGCCAACCTTTTTATATCTACCGCCAACTAATGCATCTTTCTTGATGGAAAAATTCCTGACTGCCACCAGTTTTCAATTTTTTTTTTTTTTTTTTAGTGCAAGTGCAGAATATTTTTTAGAAAGGGGGGTGTTTTAAAAAAAAACTTCAATTTATGTCTTTATTTCTACTTAATGCATGTTTATAGTGTTTTTAATTTCAAAGTTCAGTGAGAAAACAATAAAGTAAATTAAATTTACCTTTAACTAGTGATTCATTCTTTATTCTCTCCTTCTCCTTCCTATATTTTTTAAATTTTCCTCTTTCTCCCATTCTGCAAATACTCTGCTCCTTCTTTCTCCCATTCACAATTACTCTGCTCCTTCTTTCTCTCCCATTCAAAGTACTCTGCCTTCTCTTCTTTCTCTACAAGTACTCTGCTCCTTCTCCCTTTTTACAAGTACTCTGCTCCTTCTTTCTCCCATTCTACAAATACGCTGCTCATTCGTTGTCCCATTCTACAAGTACTCTGCTCCTTCTTTCTCCCATTCTACAAGTACTCTGCTCCTTCTTTCTCCATTCTACAAGTAATCTGCTCATTCTTTCTCCATTCTACAAGTACTCTGCTCCTTCTTTCTTCTATTCTACAAGTACTCTGCTCTCTTCTTCTCCCATTCTACAAATACTCTGCTCCTTCTTTCTCCCATTCTAAGTACCCCCTCCTTCTTTCTCCTATTCTACAATTACTCAGCTCCTTCTTTCTCCTATTCTACAATTACTCTGCTCCTTCTTTCTCCATTCTACAAGTAATCTGCTCATTCTTTCTCCTATTCAACAAGTACTCTGCTCTACAAGTACTCTGCTCCTTCTTTCTCCGATTCTACAAGTACTCTGCTCCTTCTTTCTCCTATTCTACAAGTACTCTGCTCCTTCTTTCTTCTATTCTACAAGTACTCTGCTCCTTCTTTCTCCTATTCTACAATTACTCTGCTCCTTCTTTCTCCATTCTACAAGTAATCTGCTCCTTCTTTCTCCCATTCTACAAGTACTCTGCTCCTTCTTTCTACCATTCTACAAGTACTCTGCTCCTTCTTTCTCCCATTCTACAAGTACTCTGCTCCTTCTTTCTCCTATTCTACAATTACTCTGCTCCTTCTTTCTCCATTCTACAAGTAATCTGCTCCTTCTTTCTCCGATTCTACAAGTACTCTGCTCCTTCTTTCTCCCATTCTACAAATACTCTGCTCCTTCTTTCTCCCATTCTACAAGTACCCTGCTCCTTCTTTCTCCTATTCTACAATTACTCAGCTCCTTCTTTCTCCTATTCTACAATTACTCTGCTCCTTCTTTCTCCATTCTACAAGTAATCTGCTCATTCTTTCTCCTATTCAACAAGCACTCTGCTCCTTCTTTCTCCGATTCTACAAGTACTCTGCTCCTTCTTTCTCCTATTCTACAAGTACTCTGCTCCTTCTTTCTTCTATTCTACAAGTACTCTGCTCCTTCTTTCTCCATTCTACAATTACTCTGCTCCTTCTTTCTCCATTCTACAAGTAATCTGCTCATTCTTTCTCCTATTCAACAAGTACTCTGCTCATTCTTTCTCCTATTCAACAAGTACTCTGCTCCTTCTTTCTCCTATTCTACAAGTACTCTGCTCCTTCTTTCTCCTATTCTACAAGTACTCTGCTCCTTCTTTCTTCTATTCTACAAGTACTCTGCTCCTTCTTTCTCCTATTCTACAATTACTCAGCTCCTTCTTTCTCCTATTCTACAAGTATATTACTAGATCTGTCCTGACCATGCATCCCTGTACAGATCTACTAAATGTCGCTTCCATAGTCTGGTGTTGTGTATGTACTGTGCCAATTAAGAGACCCATGCAATTTGGGATTATTAAGTGTAACTGGCTTTTATGTTTGCAGTCTGTACTGATTGGGAGCTAAAATGCAGGTTATCATAGGGCAGAAATAGGCAACCTTTTAGCAGCACTGTGCCAAAATAAGATTGTGAAGGTCCGTAGCGTGCCAGTCCTATTTTTTTTTAAATTGAGGTGTGTGTGTTTCCGTATTCTGCTTGTGTTATTTATACTGCAGTTGCTTTGTATCGTCGTATTTTTGCGTATATGAGCGGTTATATTGTATATGTATAAGTTTGTGTAATTGTGTATGATACCTATGAATGTCGGCTGTGTATGTGGGCTGCTTGTGGAATTATGAGCGTGGGTGAAAATGTCACATAGTGAGTTTCGTAGTGTGTGTATGTGTGGGGCTGTTTGGGGTATTGCATGTGAGAGGCTGCATGTGGGGTTGTGTGCATGTATGTGGATTGTTAGTGGTGTTACGTTTTGTGCGGACTGTGCGTGTTTGTGTGTGGGCTGTTCATATTATTTGTATGAGGGAGGCTTATTCTGCATTTCTGTGTATATCTAGCAGTGTGGGTGGCTTCCCTGGGTTCCAGTGGGGACAAGGCTGGCCAGGTACAAGTCAAGGACAGGAGCTGCAACAGCAGTTGCGGGCTGCTCTACTCCAGTGTGAATTCCCATACGTGCTGCAATGCATAAATTGAGGATTTTCCGTCACCACCGTTTCATATTAGCAGATATCTGAAGTTTCACTGGGACTCGTGATAGGCCAGACCCTGTTTAGCTCTGGCAGCCTCGAGTGCCGTAGGTTGCCTACCCCTGTCATAGAGCATCACCCTGCCTCTTATATATAAATAATTAGTATTTATTCATTGAGAAGCCCAAAACAGGAGAGTGGATTCAAATGCAATTCAAATGGGAACCCTGGCGAGCAATAGCACGGATGATTAGGCATGACTAAACTCTGGCACCTCCTAATCTAAATTTGCCCCACCCCTTCCTGTCATGGTTACACCTCTTCCTGTTTAAGACCAACATGCACTTTGACTGACAGACTCTGATACATGCACTGGCGTACACTCATTGACAGATACACAGCCATTGGCACACACACTGTTTAACCAACACATACTTTCACCGACATACACACACTGACATACCCACTTACTGACAGGCACAAATGCTCAGATACACATTCACTGACCTACATACACACACACACACTCATTTCCTCACTTATTTGACACGCTGTCAGATACACACACATTACCTCACTGATACATACTCACTCACAGATACACACAAACACTCATTGACATACGCACTCACTGACAGATACATTCACAGACATACAGACACATTCACGGATATACACACACACACACACACTCACTGATACACACCTTCACAGGCAGACACTCTCACACATTTTCTCACAAATTATTTTATTTTAATCCACCCAGCCTCCCTAGCTTTGGGAGAGCTGGTGTGGGTTCTTTCCCTGGGGTCCAGTCTGGCTGCAGGGCTGCTGGGTGGGCACACAGTGGAGGCAGTGAGGGAGCTGTAATCTTCTTGCTCTGCTCTCTTACGTGCTGCTTAGTGATGCCGTCATATTCCGGCATCACAGCAGGGTGCAGCGTGGGGGAGCAGAGTAAAAAGATGAGAGATTAGTTCTCCCTCGCCTCTCCCCTGTCTGCAATCTGCGCAGCTGCCCGCCTTGTGGGGCCCTAAGTTGGCCAGCCGGCAAGTCAGTTCTTGGGCCCCCATGATCAGGCATTTGGGGGTAGCATTTTCTCACTTTTAAAAAATATTTTATTTATATTAAATTATGTTTCATAGCCAAATATTTGATGTTAAATAGGGATGTACATGGGCAAAACATTCGGTTCAGTTCGGACTTCCGAAATTCGGGACTTTGGCAGTTCCCCAACCCCACCCCCAACCTTCCTCTAACCCTAGTAGGAGGAGTAGGTTTAGGGCTATGAGTAGGCTTAGGGGTAGGGTTAGTGTTAGATTCCTGTCATCATTCCCTTAATTTTTTCCCCCTCTCCAGTTTTGCCACTTTTCAGAAATCCAAAGCAGTTCCAGAATTCAGCACTTCCGAAATTCGGACATTCGGAAGCATCCGAATATCTGGATTTAAATTCAGACTGAATCGAATTGCACATGTCTAATGTTAAAAGAAAGCCCTATTTCCCCTGAATAAAATGATATATAAGTGTGGGTGCACTTAATATAAAAGAGGTGAATTACAGCTGAACAGACATATTAGTAAAATTCCAAGTTTTGTTTACGTTTTATTTTGATCAAAACGTGTACATTTGGCTCAGTCCTTAAGGGGTTAAAGACTGCACTGTCCAAGAGGGATTTTAATGTTTGACAGGGAACACTCATTGACATAGGTGGAAAGTGCAGAGTGGGACCTTGTAACAAGGCAAAGGTGTGTATCCAGTATTTTAGACATTTAGTCATAGTTAATCTTGTCTATTATGGCAAAGATGCAACTATTCATGTACACTTTTTGTTGCTTTTTTTATTAACATAGTAGAGGCATGGTGCAGAACAAGTACATAAATTGAATTTTATTTGTAGAGTTTCCAAGGATTGCCAGATGCACCATTTTTTTTAGCACAAACATTATTTCTTTATGCTGGTGGAAATGAAACGCATTGTTCTGTTTGTAGGATTTACGTTTTGCAAAAGGGAAATGTGTCCATTAACAGAGGTACATCAATGCTACACTCTTTCTCCAGGGCTGCTCCTTTTCT